TGTGTTGGAGAATAGAGATCTTATTATAAGCATGTCAGCATTGCAGTTACAGAGAGAAAGAGAGAGAGTAATGGCATTGGCAACAATGAGAGACAGTCCACGGAGCCCAGAAGCGAAGCTGGGGATGCGAGTGGAGGATCTATGGGACGTTCAGGAGGCACAGCTAAGTCCTACTGAGAAGCTCAACGCGTGCTTTGAAAGCATCCCTGTTGCTGCGTTTCCTTTGGCTCCGTCAAACCAAGGTAGTGAGTGATCAATGAGTTTTATTGACATATTCAACATTGATCAATAAAATATGCCAAGGGTGATTGAATAACGATGGAAAAAAGTGATTTTTATTCTACCCAGATGTAAATTGATATAGTATTTGATGGTTGATATTCGTTTTATTTTTTTTAATCTTATGTGATGGTATGTGAAGTTTATTGTTTGTCTCTTTGGGTTTAGTTCTAAGCATGTAATTCTTTTTTTTTTAATTTTGTGTTTAGAAATTGAGATAAAATCAGACGCCACCTTAGCTGAAGCTGTTAAGATACTGGCACATCACAACATTTTCAGCGCACCTGTGGTGGATGTTGACGCGCCTGAAGATGCTAGTTGGATTGACAGATACATTGGAATTGTTGAGTTTGCTGGAATTGTTGTTTGGATTTTGCATCAGGTTAGACATGTGTCAATAACCATTTCAATTACTCTTATTCGGACAGAGATAACGTTTCAGAAAAAAAATAGGGGAGGGGAGGAGCGCACATATGAATCTGAAACTTATGGTCACCTTTTTTTTCTTTTTCTGCTTTGTTTAATTCAAAAGATATCGAATTGAACCTAGTACAACTATTATGTTTAATATGAATGTACTATTTGGTATGTGATTAGTGGTGTAATGATTTGATTGTTACTACGGTATTTTCAACAAATCATGCACCGTTTGAAAAAGAATCAATTTAAAAAAGGTAATCATATTCACTTTTCCTGAAATTAACAGTAGTTACACTAACATAATTTTTAATGAAAAAAATATACACAATTCTGTTGTACTTGTCTTGTTCTGATATTTTCAAAGACATCGTACATATGGTTTGTATATAAATTTAATACATGCATGTATACTTTTTTTTTTTTTTCAAATATCGGGCATTAACTTATAAAAATAACATGTATAATAAAGAAAATAGTATTATTTTTCAATCAAGAAATGATATGATACTTGGTGCTGGTTGTTGTAGTCAATTTATTTGATGCCTCATTTTCACACTAAGCCAATGTCAAAATATTTTTGACAGTCTGAACCTACATCTCCTAAGAGTCCATCTACGCCATCCAGTGCAAGTGCTATTGCTGCTGCAGCTAATGGAGTGAGTTTTGCTTTAGAACTTGAAGCCTTAGGCCTTGGATCTGCAACAACAACTTCGGGAAACTTTTTTGAGGATCTGACTTCTTCTGAACTTTATAAGAATACCAAGGTAAGGTTGTGCATTCCTTTGTAATGTCAACCAAACAGGTTCATTTCACTCACTAACTTTTTACCAAACAGGTTCGTGATATTTCAGGGACATTCCGCTGGGCCCCATTTCTTGCTTTAGAGAGATCAAACTCATTTCTAACTATGCTCTTACTTCTTTCTAAGTACAAGATGAAGAGTGTTCCTGTGTTGGATTTAGGAGCTGGCAGAATTGACAACATTATTACACAATCTGCGGTAATTCATATGTTGGCAGAATGTGCTGGGCTTCAGTGGTTTGAAAGTTGGGGAACCAAGAAACTATCTGAAGTTGGTCTTCCCCTGGTGGCACCAAATCATATCATCAAGGTGTGTTCCTATCTTAAGTTGGAGTTCTGCATCAACTGATTGGAACTGATGTATATTAGCATCAAACCTCAACTAACAACTAAGCCATGCCATATCACAATATCCCTACCACAATATAAAATAAGATTAGTATAACGCTATACTATACTGCACAAAATTATCATACTATTCATTATTCTAACATAGTCCTTCTTACAATACACTTTGCAAACTACTATAATTTGTTAATCCTCTGACCCTCACAAATACATCCTGTGTGCATGCTTTGCTTAGGCATAATATAATGCTTTTCATGTAGGAGAAAACTTAAATAATGTTCCTTAAATACTTTTAGTGTTGTTTTTCAATCAGAATCAAAATTTCACAAAGTCTGCGTTTAAGGTTGTTGAAAATTACTAAAGTAAAACTCTAATCTAATTGAAAAAGAACACTAAAAGTACCTAAGGAACTGTACTTAAGTTTGGTTCTTTCATGTACTGTGGTTAAGACGGTGTGAATGAATCTCTTCATAGCATGGAAATGTATCAGGTATAAAGTCTCCATAATTTTAGTACACACAGAGATTAAAAGCTATCCTACAAATCTTAAATTTTTATACATATTTGGCAAATGGTCTGAACTTGGATAAGTAATTTATTTCATTTTTCCTTTTCAAGTAAGTTTGTTGATCTAGATGAATATCACAATAGATTATTTCTTTGTTTACAGATTTATGAGGATGAACCAGTCCTTCAAGCATTTAAAATAATGAGGAAAAAGAGGGTTGGAGGAGTGCCTGTGATAGAAAGAGATAGCAAAAGGGCATTTGGTAATATAAGCTTGCGAGATGTTCAATTCTTGCTAACTGCACCAGAAATCTATCATGACTATAGGTATGTTTAGATTGCCTTGCCCGTATCTTCTTTATTTTTGTTTCATTACTTACATACTCATTGGATATTCACACTATAAACAGGGCTATTACTGTAAAGGACTTTCTGACCGCTGTTAGAAGCTACTTAGAGAAGAATAAAAAAGCACTTCCAATGTTAAGTGAATTTGTTACATGCAAAAAGGACTGTACAATAAAAGAATTGATTCAACTGCTTGATCATGAGAAGATTCATAGGGTCTATGTGGTGGACAACGATGGTGATTTGCAAGGGCTAATCACACTGAGAGATATCATCTCAAGGCTAGTACATGAACCCCGTGGCTACTTTGGTGATTTCTTTGATGGTGTTCTCCCTCTGCCTCCAAACACCAGGGTTTAACAAACAAGTCATCAAGGGAGAATAAAAAGTTTTTTTTTTAAATAATTTTTTCAAGTAAAAAGGGGGAAGAAATATACAAATAGATCTATGTGCTTCTCTTCAGGGTTGAAGAGATGGGGCTTGGATCTTTGTAACGTGTAGGCAGTTTGCAAATTTTACTCAAATCCGTTTTAACAAGTGTTAAGTGAGACTCTTGTGTGTACTGTAAATTTTGGTGTAAGTGTAAGCATAAGTTTTGTCAACTCATGAAATGTATTTTCCTTTTTTTCCGCCTGCGTTTTACTCAAAAAAATAATGTTAAAATATATTAAAAATTATGATTATAGAACATTAATAACACTTTTTATTTTAAATATTTTTTATTTTAGCAATTGCCTTTAGAATAATAATCTGGTGCGCCAAATATATAACTAAATAGTATAACCCTTCACGTCTTTATAATAAGGTGGCAGAGTGTGTACAGAACGAAAACGAGGCAAATTTCTTGGAGCTTATGGAACCGCAGTTGCCGGTGACTAAGAAAAATGGACAATTTGTAACCTATCATGACGAAACAGACCCATTCTTGTTCTTGAGGGTTGATTTGGAGCGTATGTGACTTGTGTTCTTCCCAGGTAATCCAAGCAGTTGGGATTTTTCGTTTTCCATTTGTCATGGTTGACGTAAGAAGTTGATTAAAACGAATAAAAAAAAGTTGACGCTTGAAAACACAAGGAAATTAGGAAACGGGCAAAACAATCTTGTAGAAAAGTTGCACTAGGCGTAATTTTAATTTAGTTTGTTTTAAAAATAATTGTTTATTTTATTATTTCTTTTGAAAAATTTTATAAAATGACCATCCTTTTTTCAATTAGGTTATTTAAATGAACGGTGTCTAACCTAAAAAATAAAATTATAACAATTAATTAAAAAAATTAAGAATACAACCATCGGATACATAGATCAATTAGCATAGACTTATTCCAACTTAATCTTAACCACACGAAAAGAATTGTTATGCAGTAAAAGATATTAGTAATTTAGGAAAAAAGATAAAATACATGTAAATTATTAAAATGTTAACTATACAACTGTAGTTTTATCTCTAAAATATACCCTTTAATTTATAAACAAGTATCAATCTTTAAAATTAATTTTAAACTTTTAAAAATATTTTTTATTAAAAACATTAGTTTTTTAATATAATTTCTTTTGTAAAAAATTATCAATTTTAGTTGCTTACAACTAACATTAGAGACTGATATTAATATTTTTATATAAAAATAAAACATATTGCATTTAATATTATTAATATAAAAAATATTTAGTAATTCTATATTCTATTTCATAAACAAAGACTCTAGTGTAAAAGAATGAAATCCAGTTCTCTTTTCTTCCCATCACCAATTCAATAGGCTAGATCCGAATGATAATGCACCAATGGCGCGGAAAACGATGAAAAACTGAGTACACGTACTAATCGTGATGAAGTAAATCAAATAAAGTCCCAGCTCGTGTTGCTGCTAATCGTGACTAAAAGCTACTAGGATGTGGACAGCTACATTAGGAACATGATAGGGTTATTTCAATTTGACCGTTTACACATCAAATAATAGTAGAGCACTGGAGCCATTACTCTTGATTCTCCTGAATGAAAATGCAGATGCAATGAGCGTAAAACAATCTCTAGCAATTAAAACTGCAGGCAAACATGACATCACTTCCAGTAAGTAGAATTCCACAAACTTACGAAACACAGGAGACAATTCCACATGGTAAAATGACTATTTATATTCCACCCTACAACGGCCAAGTCAATAAAAATAATAATCACAGAAAATGCTTGATTAAACTTTTAAATAAGTTTTTATAAGAAAAAATAAATAATGTAAAAAAATAAATAAATTTTTTCGCATAAATTGAAAAAATAACATTTTTCTATTTTTTTTTCAAATCCTCACTTTAACTTCTTTAAAATTTATAAAAATTCATAAGATAAGTTGATTATAACTTAGATGTTTTATTTACTTTTTATACTAATTTTTTATCTTACAAAAATTTTTCTAGAAATTTACCTGAACATGCAGCATTCGACAATTATCAGGTTTCAGTGACTGTCTGATGCAATGACATGAAGTTGAATACAGGTAAATGACTGAGTAAAGCGTATGCTTATGAGATCATTACACAAAAACGAAACAGTAAACAACGCATATCCCCTGATGAGTTTAAATACTCTTGCCCAAGGTAAAAGTTTGAGACAGGCATAGCATATCCACATTGCCAGAGCTACTGATTGAGATTTTAAAAAAGGCAGTTCAAACTTAATGCAGATAAGGTGCACAAATGTAGCGTCTAAGTGTCTAACAGTGTTGACAGTAGGTACTGGATGATGGCAATTGGCAAAGATCAAAACGTATCAACAGAGAATATCACTGCACCAATCACTAGTGCATAACTTCCAACAATCAACATGATTCTACCATCATTGTAAAAGTTGTCGATCTACTTTTTATTGATTCTTGTCGGATTATCAACAACATTCTGATAAACATGCAAGTTTTTCACAAGCAAATTTTAATCTTGAGTAGATCCACTTTCTGCTAGATCTATCGCACATTTCCTCACCTCTTTTATCATCAGCTAAATATAATGCACAAATAATATGGTATGTAACAGGTAACAAATCATTGTCCTTTGATTGGCAATTAAGCAAATTGCAGCTATGTAAATACACAAGATCAGGATTGATGGTAGCTAATGAATGTACCATTTCAACAAGTATTGTGATTAATGACAAAAACATGGATAAGCTGTGGGAGACACTAGACTCGGCAATATTTATATATATATACACAACAGATATTACAGTATTCGCAGGACAAAGAAAAAATCTTTTTTGGTTGTTTGGGAAGGGGTTAGGGAGAGAAGAGTTGATTTCACAAAATCCCATTCTAACATTAACACCTGTAAAATAAACACCTATCCAGGAGAAGATACACATGACACAGGAAATCATTTTCAACTAACCCTCATAAAATGAGTTCACCTGTTAAAAGCATCTTATAATATACTATGTACTTTTTCTCCTTATGTGATGCAATACAGCAGGGGATCCTTCAAATAAATCTGATAGATAGGCCTCTAGATCCTCTGGTGTATACTTAATATATTTCCCCGCATGCCTTCCCTCTAACTGACTCTTAAACCTCCCCACAAACGAGCGGTATGCAGGAATCACCTTCTCCGATATGGATATCCGCAGCTCCTCCCGAAGCTGATCATCCGGTACCTTCCAAGCTGTCTGGGCCCTGTATATTTCCTCAAAACATGCATTGAAACTCTTGAACCTCTCCTTCAAAGCCATCTTTGATGCATTGTTAGAGCTCCCTCCTCCAATCCCTTCATCCTTCAAACAAGATAAGGCCTTGCTCCAAGCTGCTCTGAGATACCCAGTAGCACACTGGCGTATCTGACCGCGGCGTTTTCGAATCCAATCATCTCCCAAGACCTTCCTAAGATCCGAGTCCTTCACTTTCCGAACCAGGTAATAGAGATTGTTCATCAAAAACACCTGCTGCATTGCATTGTCGTCATAAAGTCTCGATTTTTCCTCAAGATTACACTCGAGCTCAGACATCAGCAAAAGAATTTGGCGTGCTAAGGGGGACATGGCCTCTAGCCGGGCACCATCACCACCAAGATCGTTTTGAAATCGATACAGGTCCTCTTCACGGATTTCCAAAAGCGAATCCATAGGGTCACCATAATCCACAAGCAACTTTAGATAATTCATAACATACCTAAGCAAAGGATGAACATCCCCACTCATGACTGGCTTCTTGGAAGTCTCATTCCTAATACAATTCTCAAACTCAGCAAACGTCCCTTTGACAGCCTCACCAAGTCCCCTCAGAACTCCATTGGCCTCACCAATCAGAAATTCATCAGAAACCATATCCTGCAAATCAGGCAACGCATCCCTCAGAGCCTCATACATATCCAATATCCTGAACAACTTCTCCGGCGACCTCTTACAAATAGCAATAGCCTCACCAAAATTCAACAACTGCATAACACACCCTTTAGCAGTTTCATTGAAACATATCTCCTTCAACTCATCCAACTCACCAAAAAGACTATCACACAGTCTCTTCTCCCCACTCAACAGCACCCCAACAACAACCTTAACAGCTTGCACCCAATTCTTCATCTTCTCATCCAAACTCTTCCACTCAACCTTCTGAACCTCTTCAATACTCAGTTTCTCAACACCAAGAATCACCAAACACTCATCCAAAGCGTCACGACGGACACTACTATAAACCTGAAGACACTCTCTTTCATAACCAGACCTAACCATACGATCGATGATTTCTCTGAGGTCCTGCACCGCTTCCGGACGCACCAAATCGTCGAACAAATCGTCTCCCAAACTCGCACCGCGCTCGTGGAACCGATGAGAACCGCGATCGCTGACCTCGCCAAAGCTCTCAAGGTTTTCATCGATTGCGCCGTCGTGAGAACCGAAGGAAAGGGAAACCCTCCTGATCGAACCGTAGCGGCTCACGGCGTCGAGAGGGATGGTGTTGCAAATCAACAGGTGGCGCAACTCCTCCTCGAGCCTCGACATCGCGAGTTGAATCGCGTTCTCGGCGCGGTCAACTATGATCTGGCCGGTTCTTCCAGCGGCGGACGGCGGCGCAATCGAGAATTGCTCCATCCAGTGGATGATTTCGTCGACGGCGGAGAAGTACTCGGCGGGGTTGTTCGGAGGGTTGAAGGGTGATGCGGATTGGCGAGAAGGTTCGCCGGAGAGGTAAGCGTCAGTGAGGATGACTTTCTCGGCGGCTTCGAAGCGGTCGAGGTCTTCGTCATCGGAGGACTTGGAATCCTCGCCGTTGATGAGGTCGGAGATGCCGGAGAGGCGGTTATCGAAGGTGGAGAAGATCAATAGCATGTCTTCGCGATCCTCTTTCGCAGTCCTGAGGCTCTTTACGATCTGCTGTGCCGTCGCCAGGACACGGTCGTCTCCGCCGGCGGCGGCGCCAAGACTGGTGGTGGTGGTGGCCATTCTTACCTCCACCGAAACGGTTTAGGGTTTTTTTATTATTATTATATTATAATCTTATAATTTTCTGAGATTTGTGGGTGTGAAAGAATAAAAGGGGTGAAGTGAAGGGTTTGGGGCTATGGAAATGTTGGAGTGAGAAAGGAAAGAGAAAAGCGAAAGGAAGATATGGTGGTGAGCATTATTCTCGGATATGTCAGAATTTTTGTTTATTTTTCTTTTTTATTTTATTTTTGGTTAAGTATTGTTGGGGACTGTTTGGGAGGACAGAAAAATGGGGAAGAAACAGACACTGTTGGCCGGCTTAGTTGGAGACTTGTACAAACACCGAGTCTGAGGCGTTGCTAATCGCGCAGTGTACCCCTTTATGGGCCTTCCAAGATTTTCCATTTGCTTCGTTATCCCATGACGTAACTTGCCTTCTCCCTTCTCATTCCCTCTAAACAAACTAACCTTCCCTTCTACATCATCTAAATTCCCTAATCTAATTTCCTTATTAATTTACCACATAATTCTTCTGTTATTTTTAAACCATCAGTTGCATCTCTCTCTCAGTTCACTTTTATTTTATCTTTTTGTATTTACATATTTTACCTACATTTTAATAAGGAAAGGAACGCAAGGTTATCAAAATAAAATTAACTCGAGTCCTCTTTTTTATGATGAGGTTTAAACATTATAAATTATAAAAAAAAAACTAGAAGTTTAAATAATATAAATCAACAATTTGACTAATGATTAAATCTTATCTATATGCTAATTTCATTCTTATACACTATTTTAAACTGCACTCTCCTGATAACAATAATTAATTTAAATTTACTTAAAATGACACTATCATTCTTAACCTTTTTAAATTTGAATTTTCTTAAAAATAATTGTGTGAATATTCTTTTTAACTTTTAATGCTTTTTAACGATCAGATTTTATTCATTAATTTCGTTAAAACTATTTATGTATACTTTTTATATTTGATTTTTTTCATTAGTTTTTTAATGCATGTTTTATTATTTATCTTGTTTTAAAAAAAATTATAAATGCGCGCAAAATGTATCAAGTCACACTAATAATGAAGCCTAAGATATGAATATTAATTTGGGCATTTTTTTTGTAGTCGTCGCTACTTCATAAGCGCGTTACTGGAAAAAACACACACAAGTAAAATTAAAGTCACCAAAATAAATTATTCGTATAGATTTTAAAGATTTATGCTAATAATATTATACGTTATATCAACAAATAATTTTATTAATAAAAATATTAATGTGTATTATTAATATATTAAGTGTTAGTATAAAACATTTTTTGTAGATATAGATATTTTAAATATATATTAACATTTTTTAAAAACTGAAATTATATTAACAGAATTTATTCTAATACTTGATAATTTTTGTGTATTAACAAATCACAATGTTTTAAAATGAGTTATATACATTACTTCACAAGTTATTCATCAAAGGTTATTTTTCGTTTTACGTATTACTTTACATTTAAAATTAATAAGTAAATATTTATCACATGAAAGTTTTTTTAATTATCGTATATAAAATAATTTTAAAATTTTTGAGATATTTTTTAAGAATAAAAAATGTACATAAATACATTTTGAATTTAATAAAGTGCAATAACTAATAAACAACCTCATCAAAATTTAAAATTATAAGGCTTAATTTGTTTAATGTGATGGTGGTAGCGTAAATTTTTAATTGGGAATTTTGACACGTAAATTGAATTAATATAAAATAAATTATTTACTTTATCTTATATCATTCTGTTTTTTATAGTTTATTAAATCACTCAATTTTAATTATTGTTCAATACACTCTCTATCTTTCACACTATTGTTTATATTCAGCATGTGCAAATCATTCATACTGAGATCTTAAATCATTAATAAATAACTGTAATTAGTGTATTTCCCATGTTAGTTATAAGAATTTTTATACTTCATACTTAAATTTTTTAATATGGTATTATTAATTATTTTTCATGTAAATCTTTCAACTAAAAATAACAACATTAATGCTCTCAATCTATAATGTATTTTTCAAAATTTTCACTTATATTCAATATTACTTTTCATTAGAATTTTCCAGCATCTAATTTAATATTGTATGACAGTTAAACTTCATAGTATTTTCTTAAAAATTAGCGCATGTCAATATATATATATATACCCATACTCGAATCTAGACCTATTTAACAAATATTTATCCAATTTATTATAAATATTTTTTTAAGTATCTAATGGGTATGGACCAATTGCCATCCCTAGTGTACTCAAATTATTTAATAACATTTGCATTAATTTTATCATGTGATTGAGTGTATTAAAAAAAAATAGTAATGTATTTCACTTTTGGTATTTTTGGAAATAGTAGTATAAAGTAATGTATTGCTGTATTATATATATATATATATATATATATATATATATATATATATTGTATTGTATTTTTAATGTAAGAGTTTTATTACTTTCTCTAGTTCAAAATAATTATCATTTTATAAGTTTTAAATTATTTATTTATTTATTTTATGGATATTGAGAAAAAATTTCAATTAACACTTGAAGAACATTTAATATTTCATATTGTCAATAAAATATTTCATTTTTTTAAAAAATGAAAAGATTATATTGTTTTGATAAATAACTTGATTAATAATAAATTGTCACATAATAAATCATTTATAATATATTTAAAAAAACTATTATAGAATTTATTGGTAAAAAATTTTAATTTATAAAGTCATACATTAATCTATAACACTTGAGTATTTATATAAAGCTTGACCCATTTATTTTAACTACTTTTTTTCTTAAGATTAGAAATTATTCCACATAAAATTTCTATCTTTAGTTTGCAGAACTAATTTCATTTTTTTTAGTTTTTTTTTAATTCTGAAAAAGCACGTCTGATTTGTGAAAATAGTTTCCAAGTAACACATACACTGAAAAAGAAAAAGAAAAATAAAACAATTCATATTTAATTGAAGTTATAAATAAAGCGAAGAACATGGTTTCGGAACAAACGGAATTTAGAAACTTCCAAACCATATTCTGAATTCTGAAATCTGAAATTGGAAGTGTGAAATCTCTGAATTGGCCATAGAGATATTTTAGAAACAAGTTGATTCCGTCAAACAGAAGAACCAGTGAATTCATTGAAACATGGAGGCTCTGGATTCTGGAGTTTTAATTGTATTTATAGAGTTGACCACTGATTGATTGATTGCATGCTCTTTTATCACATTTTAATAATCCACCAACTTGCTGGTCAAGGGTCTATTTCAATCTTATCCTCTACCCTGTTCCACTTTTTTATTCAATCCAAAAATAGTTTCACATTAGGAATTCATGATCCAAATAGTAAATAACAAATATTTTTTAGAATATCAATATATAATTTAAATCTAAAATGTTTGTAGTATTAATATGTATTCCACAATATCAAATAAAGTTAAGCAACTGTTTAAAATTCCAATGTATAAAATATCAGGATTGGTATTTATCAATAAAAAATAAAAGCTTAAAATAAGCACAGCTATGGAAATTTATACAAGTAATTAAAAAAACTAAAATTAAGATTAAAGTAGTTGTTAAACTTAAGAATTTGGGCCCCATAACAAAGGAGTTATGGGTGATTAGATAACATTAATAAGGTTGAAATAAAGAAGTGTGGGGCACATGCTTGGCATCTCTGATTCATAGAGTGGGCTTTAGGTCAATGTCATGGCTGTTGGTCGTTTTAAACTACCACAGTCATATTATACCCAAACAAATTTTACAAAAAGAAAAGAAAAAGAAATAAATTTATAACTTTATATTACAAATGCAACTAATAATAATTACTAACTGTATATAACTTCATAAATATACGTAAATATAAAAATTAAATTTGAAATATGTTTAAGGAAATTTTTTAATTAATTTAATTAAGAATAACAATTTTAAAACATTTTAATACTTTTAATACCGACAGAGAAAATGAAAAGTATTGGTCAAAATAAAATTGTAAATCTTATATGATTGGTTCAAAGAAAAAGAAAATTTATTTGATATAAAATTTACAAAATGTGTATATGACAAAATAATGAAAACAATGATTATACAATTGTAAAAAATATAAACCAACATCTATAATATAAAAAATTTCGTTAGAAGAGACATTCAATTCATTTAATTTTAATATACTAATATAACCATTAACTAATTAGAATGCATTATAAACATAATTTTTATATTAATCATTATAGAAATTAATTGATAATAAATTGAATAACAGTGTAAAAAACATTTAAGTTTATTTATTATAATAATACCATATTTCTTACATGAATATTAAAAGAAATCATTATTAAAGATTAACAAACTTTAAAATATTTTGTTTACACAATTTTATGTGTCCGAGCAATAAACTAATCGGGAAGCAGTTAAAAATTTGAAAACAACATTCACATTTTTTTTAAATAGTATCATTATATTACTGTATTAATAACAAAAGTAAGACAATCCTTTTATAATTAAGAAGTAAAGAAAAATATTTTCCAAATCCGATTAACCTCTCGTGTTTAAGAACTTTCATCTCATCTATAAGTAAAAAAGAGAAGAGATCACGTGATAAGAAATCAAGCAACTTTATATCAAGAGAAAATTATAAATAGTGTTGGGCTGACATTTTTTTAAAGTTAGAGTAAAAGCTTTTGGTAACTTTAAAACTGTGAACTTTAAATTTGTGTTAAAGTTTAAAACCTTTGGCAATTGTGTTTCTGATTTTTAAGATTTGAAATAAAAATGATAAATTAAAAGAGAACGAAATGCTTCAAAATTAGCTTATTTAATGTTTTTTAAAATATTTTTCATTTAAAATAAAAGCTCTTTTATATTTTTCAAGATTTTTGTAGAATTATGTTTGACATAATTTTACTTTTTGTAAAATAACACAGATTAAAAGAAATCAAGTAAAATACTATCATAATAGAATGATTTTAAAAGTATTTAATTATTTTTAATGATTAATGTTTGTTGTTAACTTACTAATTTTTTTATTTATTTTGAAAACAGTATTAAGAAATAAAACATTTTTTATAACTTAAAATAACAGTGGTATTTAACACGCGGACTTAATAGAATAATAATAAAATAACATAACATAATGAGACATTATAATTATGTTCTGTAGAATGTGCTCGGCAAGTTTAAACTCTACATGACCACTCGTTTTTATTTTGTACTTGGAAATTTCAGAATATATTTTTTGAGAATCTTACTTTTGACGAAAATAATAAATTTGAATCCTATAATTATACATAAATAATTAATTTTCTATAACAAATTTAAAAAATATCTCATAAATTTAATATTTTAATTATAGTTATTTATAATAAAATTTAATACTTAAATTATCGTATTTCTATTTAATATGTTCCTTGACGCTTACTATTTACTAGGAAGACAAAATATCTGTATAATATATATTGTGTAATATTTAGTTGAGTATTAAAAAAAATGAATAAAGTGTGACTTTTTTTTTTCAAAGTATCATTTATTAATTTTTTTTAATTGTTAAAGCCTTCAGGCTATTAATTTTTTTAAATATCGATAAAATAAAAAATTTGAATTTACAAAAGTGTATTATTTTATAAATAATTACAAAATTTCACAAATATTACGATATTAAACAACTGAAGTAATAATATTTACAGATTTAATTTATTTAAAGTGAAGATACATGTAAAATTACAAATAAAGATATATTTACTGCTAATTAAAGTTATTTATATTTATAAAATATTTAAATTTGAATTAATAATAAATAAATTCTCATTTGTTTTTTGCAATTAATGGAGTTAAATTTATTTAACCTTTGGAGGTTGAGTTTTCAGCACATTCATTTACAAACGTGAAATACAAGAAAACAAGTTTTTAAACAAATAGAAGGGAACATGCAGTAGTATGGTTGTCGGTAATTAATGTATTTACTTGCAATTGAAGAATGATTTAATTTCAAAGCAAATTGAAAATAAATTTAAAAATACAAATTTAAGAATAATAGAAGCAAATTAATGTGTTTCTATCTCCAAATTTTAATTTAGGTAAATTTTTTATTTTCATAATTTAAATTGCTTGCATTTAATATTTTTAATTAAGTTTTTTGGTTAAATTTTATTTAATAATTAATTAAAATGGCGTATGATTCACGAAATGAGACACTTCAGCCAATAAAAAAAAGTAAAAAACATACATTTAAAATTTTATTTACAGATTGCTTAAACCGAATATTGTGACTATATTTATATTTTTATTTGGTATGTGATATTTCTTAACACTCATAGACATTTGCTACATAAAATATGTAGGAGTGGACATGGTTGTCCAACATTCAATTGGAATAAAAACTAATGGATAATTTACTCTTAAAATATAGTTTATAATAGAATAATTGTTCAAATTTTATAAAGAGTATATTAACTATATTTTAAAATAATACTAGTATAGTTCAGTGGCAATAGTTAGTGATTTTGGTGTGAGAAGTGTAGATCTATATTTACAGTAATTGACTAATGCTGATGCATTTTAATAAACGTTGATCATAGTTGGCAGTGGTTCATAACTATTGAAGATTATGCTGACTATTCATGAGGATGATTCCACGATAATGACAATTTTGTGACATACTCATAATGCCATGCTGCTAACTCTACCCACAATATTTGCCAGAAATTGCACTTTTTTTTTTACCTTTTTTGAAATAATTGTCTTGTAATGTCAAATAGCACCCTTGATAGTGGAACGTCCCAGCAAATATAATTTTGATGAAACTCTTTCATAAATTTTGATGTAATGACAAACTGTTTCATGTTTTATAAATATAAAACAGTCGCATAAATCTATATTTTTCAATAAATACGTCAGATTTTTGTTAAGACCATTTAATTCTTCACGGTTACAATACATGTGTTTTTTTTGTTTTTTTGTTTTTTTTTTTTTATAAATTGTAAATTTTGAGACAGCACAATAACATAAGTTACTTATGTTGCTGGGATCACATAATCTCTTATTGCCTAATAATTTTCGTAGTCGGCATGTTTGCTTTAATGCATTAGAAGGAATACATAAGTATATTTGATAAGATATTTTAATTAATTTTAATAATGTACTTTCTAAATTATTTAATTAAAATAAATGTATTTTCTTTGCAAACTAATTTTTCTTATTAGGTTGAAGTTGTTTCTAAATTTTATTTGAAATAGTGATTTAACTTATATCTTTATTTTTCTATTTTAAGAAAATTATTTATTTATCCCCTCTTTTAAGATTGTGATATTTTAATATTTTTCATATTACATTATTTATTTTGTTTTTATACTAATTATTTTTGTTACTATAATATTTTATCTTTAAATAAAATAATGAGTTTAAAATTAGTTAAAATTTATAATTAAATTAAAAAAATTGTCTACAAAATTTAAATAGAATTTACATAAAAATCATATCCATATCCTTTTTATATTATTTTATATTTATCAGATAAATAGTTAATTTTATTAACACTTTTAATTCAATAAGTTAACATTAATATTTTTAGTTAAAAATTAATTTTCTATTTTCAGTTAGCGTATCAACTATTTTTCCAAATCTAACCCTAACGCCAACTCGAAAAACCTATATACCATCTAATTTTGTAGAGAACCAATTTCAAAACTCATCAAAATAAGAACCAATTCTTAAGTCCTGGTGTGCACATTTGGCAACACTCAATTCCAAAATCATCTATACTTGTAACTTTCACGAGTTTGCTTTTTGGGTTAGGCTAACTAATACTTCAGTATCCACATCAGTATCAGTATTTCATGCACACCTCACTTTATTGGTATCCGAAATCCTTCATTTGACACAAATGAGAAAGCCCTTTATAGGTAGAGCATCTACTCCAGCATAAATTCTCAAACTTTTTTCTTTTATGTGAAGAATGACAAATTCCTAACAGTAAAGGAAGTGTGACATTCCTTTGAAGAGTTTGTCATAATTGTGTCTCTTCTGATATCCATCACTTCCTTCTATGCAATTGTAATTTTGCTGCTATTTGCACGTGAAGTTCAGGTGGTACTTGCAGAATGGGTTCCGCATTCTCTTATCAGTCATGGGTCCATGATCATAATTTTTTGATATATCAGCTGGTATGAAGAATAACTCGGCCCAAATGTTTACGTGATAACTAAAATGAATGCTCTGTATCTTTAATAGGTCAGAATTATGCAATCCATCTAGCCACTGATTATTTACTAAATAGTATTGTATTAATTTGGTGTGTATTATTGCAGCTATGTAATCTAACATGTGATAAGAATTGCACAGGCCACGCTTAATCGTTGCATAAGGTGTAACTAAACTTTTTCTTGATGCTACTTAATATATATTGTAAATGTTTGAGCCATGAGACAAAGTTATGGATACAGTTTTTCAGAAAAGAAAAGAAAAGCTATCAGAAGGAACAACGAAGCAGTTCAATTTGCTGAAGTGGTTGCTTCACAACCATCATGCACACAGGCCAAGACATCTTTATAATCCCTTGAAATGGTAAAAGAATCGTAGACCTTTCCATCACTGCTTTTCTTGTATTCAAAGAGGAGAGATGAATGATTGAATGCTGTCAATTTGACAAACCCAAAGTCGTAGTCTCTATAAAGACTCCAACTGGGGGTTACTTGGCTGAAGTTTGACAAGTGGCTTCCTGCCCCTCCAACAACAACGTGAATTGTTCCATTCACAACACCTGAATAGTGAGACTTTTCTGTATTCACACATTGATTCTGCACATGGATTTTGTTTATAAAAAAAAAATAGCATTAGCATGGAAATTATTAAAAGCTCACCATTGTAACAGTAGCAACCATCCGTTGATCATTTCAACAATTTTGATTAGATAAAAAGCACACCATGAAATGCATACAACAAGAAAACAAATCATGGACGTATAAATTGTGCAAGTTGGTTCGAATTGAACAAAGTCATGTTATATTTGGCCATTATCCTTACCTGATAAATGGGGCACGTCCTCTCGTAGTTATGGATATGACCATAAAATGCAATGTCTACTTTATATTTCTGCCAAAGTTTTTGCAAACTTTCCCTTCCCATGGGTTCTTCAAATGAGCCCTCCAACCCATACCAAAAATTAGATGAATATCCAAGCACCCTATGAGCAGCAAAAATCAACCAGGGTTGTTTCTGTCTGTCTACTGTTGCAAGGCAATGCTCAATGAATTTGTATTGTTCTGATCCTTCTCTCCAATCATGCTCAGTGTCAGCTATGCAGAAGCGAAACATGCCATAATCTGTCCCATACCTGGGTATTCAGAATGTCAATTATTATATATATAAAAAATGAAAAATATCATTTCTATATATCATTAGAATTACAACTCACTTTATGTACATAACGCAGAATTATTCATGTTGTAATACTTAAACATATTTATGTCACGAGTCATTTTGAAAATTCATATTGACCACCTTTGTAACAAAAGAAAATTCATTACTTCAAATTTAGTGTGTTTGGACTTTGTATTAACTTCTATTGTGCTCAAAATGGTTTTCCAATCAATATATTAATAACATATCTTTTGATGAAAAACATGATTTTCCCTAAAATTTGATGTAATCCAAACATGCACCTACTTAAATGGACAAATTTAAATTTTTCATGAAATCAATGTACCAAAAGTTTGCTCTGTTTTCAGCTGGAACAAAAAACATGGTCTGAGCCAAAACTCCACATTCACCACCTGAATCTGTAGTGTCATAAAAGGATCCTGTGTTGGGCCAATCACGTTCATGATTACCGCTGCACATTTGTTAGACAATTCTTGTTCAATACATAACTAACGCATGAATCTAATTTACGTTCCAACAGAAGGTGTGGACAACAGGCCAAACCTGGCAATCATATAAGGTACTGTCGATGCAATTGGTTCCACTTGAGCTGTGAATTGGTCCCACTGTGAGAGGTATCCATTTGCATAAGTTATATCTCCTATGTGGAAAACAATGTCAATATTTTCTAAATCCTTGATGAGCTGGTCAGTGGTGTTAAGTGAACCAGGTTGGTAGTTACTATACTCATTTGAACCATCACGCTCAGCCTGAAACAAATCGAAAGAAAAGTAGATGTTTTTATCAATAATCATGCTCAACAGTTATCTTGCAATTTTATCATTTTTAACCTGACCATTTCTTTTGGGTGATACAGGTTTACAGTACAGAATGAGAAAGCAAGCCAACGAAGTTGCTTGGCTAAAATGTCAATCAAATGATGACATCTGTGTGAAAAGCTTAAATTGATCAACCGGGTAAATTTAAAAAGACATGTTCATCGATACACAGGTATCAGTGAAAGAAACAAATGCAGACATCTCAAATAGACGAGAAAGCAGCTTATGACTGTTTAACCTATATATTCCAGACTAACAAATTCCAAATATATTGATGATACGGTCATCTAATAATTTATGATCTTCAAGATTATAGTGAAGAGTTAGTGTAGAGTGATCAAATAAATACAGATGTTAAAAGCTAGAGTTGTTTTTCTTGACAAATCAGTGGTCAAGATCCTTACTTTGTCCATTCATAAATATGCCTAAAGATTGCACTTGGTTTGAGCATGCAAGGTTCTTCCTCCCAAAGACAGTTTCAGGCAATCTTCTTTCTTTATATAATTTTTTTCTTGAAACAATTAATATTACCTTGCCCATGTCACCAAATATGATAACACGTTGCAGTGAGTCCTGTCCAGGATAAGGTGACGACTTGAATGAATATTTTTTGCTCCAAATATATGAACCATTGGACAAAATATGCCCTAATCGATAGGTATACCTGAAAATATATATTTTAAAAAATATAGAACAAACTCTGCCAGTTGTTATTGTGTTATAAACAGAAATGGATATCCAAATGCATACACTAAATTTGGCCAAAGATCTTTGAGGAAACTTGTGTGTATGAAACCAGGGTCACGCCAACCAACAGTTTGTGCAGGGGAACCTGCAAGTGAGAGTAACAACAGAACCATATTACACAGTTATAGAAAATCCTATTCCCAATTTGTATTGAAAGGAGATTCATTTCCAAAAGAATAAAAAAGAAGTAATCTGTATGCAAGAGTTTCCAACATATAGCCAAGACAAATTAACATTCCACCATTTATTTCCAAGTTCACAAGGAAGCAATAGCTTGGATTGAAATGTTGTCAAATTGTATAGAAAACATGAGAAGCAAGATTTGATAGCAATTTAAACAGGAAAAGCATTACTGGTCATGGACTTTTGCCTACCAAAATCTACTTATATTAAAACTTAGGTTTTCAGTTTTTGGTTTCTTACTATCCCACCCTCCATTTCATTAGGTGCCACTCTAGTATAATTTTCAGGAAAAGAAGTTTGTTCTTCTCGGTATATTTTGATGACACATTATGGGGAACATTGTAGAAGGGCCCTAAGACTTAAGAGAGGAGGGAAGGTGTATATAAACCAAGTGATTTCAATTTCAAAGTAATAGCAGAATGCCAAGCAAAAGTTCAATTTATCATTCAGGTTTTCTGAAAAATATTAACTGGGCCAGACCATGCATGAAATAAAAACCCAATGTGGTGCCATGCTAAGCAAATTAAATAAACCATACCACACACGGTGTTACGACCAAATGTCAATGTTCCAGCAGGAGATTGCACTGGCGCTCTACCCTTAGGACCCCACTCAACAAACGGGATAGCTTCATGTAGGTCATATCCACTAGTCCAGGTAACTGTCATCTGCATAAGACAAGCCAAATAATCCTGAAATCACTTCTGTAGTCTCATAGGGGTTCCAGAATGTTTAACAAACAAAATGCTGAAAATAGCATCAATTCCTATTTCTATGGTATCATGTCAAACTTAGAAAGTCTAATGAGAACTTCAGAAGACAATCACCATTGGAGGTTTGTGCTCAAAGTCTATAAAGTTTAGATCGTGTCTCTTGGGATACTTGGATGCTTTGTATAAAGAAACAACATCACTAAAACAGCCATAATAGGAGAAATACGAGCAGCAAATGCTATTCCTAGAGTGAGCATAATATTAAAGACCTTTAAGCATGAAGATAAACTTACTTCATCCCATGACTTCCCTTGAGCAAGACGTGGATATAGAGGTGCTTTAGGATTGACAAATGATATGAAATTAGAAACTGACACAAGCTTAGGCTGCAGTGTTCAATCAGATGAAAATAAGTTAGCACACAAATCATCTACATTAAGTGCATTGGTGTAATATATTGACTGTGCTAACAGGCAATGCTACATCTAAGGTGAGACTCAATTAACACGAGCATGTTTTAGTTAGAATGAGAAGGAGATAACAGATATATAAGAACTTAAGAGTCTGGAAACACATTTGATATTCCGCCTGAAAATAGCGCAAAGGAAAAATCTGCACGTTGATTAATCAACTGGAACTTCAAAGAAGCTTTTCCTGTCTTTGTATAGTGTGAGTTGGAGAAATTCACAAGCTTGTACTGGTACAAAGTTTCAAATAAAACCACATGAGTAATGACCACTTAGAAAATTATTCCTACCTGAATTGACTCAATTCAATCAAACATACCTTTATGGGGGCTGAGCAAATGTATGGAGTCTGTTCTTTTGGGTCATTCACAGGTGGACAGGTTGATGAACTACCATTGTAAAAGAAGAATCTCATTTAGTTCTTTTCACAATAATTAGACTTATAAACAACTAAATTGGAAAATTTTAGTTTATTGAGAAAATGCTTGGTACAGTGTCTGGTCTTGAGTTATATGCAATATTCAATAGAAGTCCATAATGTGAAAAAGATATGTGCATTACTTGAACTTTGCAGGAGAGAAAACTCCAACCCAATCATCTACAGATGGTTCAGGGTAATCAACATCTACGGTCACCCATTGAGTATCCTCACCCTGAAATCATATACATCAAAACAGAGATGAGTCAACTTAAAAACCCCACAAAAATCATATCCATCACTTTACACTTTTAATTTGCATTACAGTCCCGCATAGAGTGTAGAACCTAGTAGCCTACAAAACACGCCAACACTTGGCCTTTACTAAATTAGCAAAGTTTAAGGAACATGTTATGCTGTTATTTTTTCGGCTTTTCTAACGTTTGACAAAGACACATGATAATAAATCGATAAATAGTAAATTTTTATTGAAAGTTGTAGCACGTTATCATTAAATTCAGTGACATCACGCGATTTCTAATAAAAACTTCTACATAGGTTCTTGTTCCATGTCTTTGACACACCTTAGAAAAACCGTTATGTTTATGTTACCTTCGAGCCGAGAAGAGCAGGGGTGGCTTTAATGGAGGCGCTAGAATGAAGCGAAACAACGGTTTTGTGGATGGCAATTTTGGAGAGAGGTTGTTCCCCAAATCCTTGAACGTGAGCATAGCCAAAAACGAAGTTAAAGTTGAGCAACCACGCAATTACAAGAACCAGAGTCATGTTGCGCCAGAGATATCCTAGAACGCACTTTTCTGCTTCCATGTTCATATGCATTTTCTTTCGTCAAACTCTTGAAGAGGACTAATAATTTAGTTAGTAAAACAGTAATGTTCAAGTCTCTGCAAGAGAGCGCCTACTTTCTAGTTTATTTTATAGGCATTATAATGGATTAACAGGTCTACTGAGTCAGTCTGATTTTGATCCTTTTCTTAACGTAGATAAGTAAATATTTTGATTATTATCTTTAATCTTAATGAGATATTCGGTTTCTTTTTTTTATATGTAAGATAGAGCAGAAAAGGATAAATAAATATTTTAATTATTATCTTTAATTTTGATAAGATATTCAATTTTTTTTTTTATATGTAAGATCGATCAGTTTCTTGACTACTACACTACGTATATATGCTGTTTGGATACTCAGAATCATTCCATTTTGACTTCGTTCCGCTTTTTTCTGGTTTGTGTGTTTCTCACTCGACAACCACATGAATGATAAATTTGTAGCTTTTTTTTTTTTTAAGCAGAGTAGACTCTGAGGGAAGAGCGTAAGAGAAGGTGCAGAGTAAACGGGAATTTGTTCCACCAACCAGCCTTTCAAGTCAAACAAATTGTTAGAATTTAGAAGTTATGTATTTTGTTCTTGATTCAATTATTCATGCTTTTTATCAATCAACTACAATTTAACCCATTAAAATATAAGATAAAAATATATCATCATTTCCGTAATTAATCTTTGAAATAAGATGGACATCAGATCTTTTAAATGATCTTTTGATAATTATGAATTCTCACACTTAGCTTTGAATTATTTATATTTAGTAACAGTTAACAAAAATAATAATCTAACTGTATATAATTATATTTTAAGAAAAATATTCTTTTAAATGAAGTTGTTAATATTCATAAGATCCATCAATTAAATGAAACGGTTATCGTTGAAATGAATTATGATATAATATACTAATTAAATAAATATAAATATTAATTTAAGAAAAACTAAAAAAGTAATATAATTGAAAACTAAATAAGAAATATTAATTTAAAAAAATGTGTATCACAAAAATAAAAAAGCATAATTGTAGATAGAAGTTATGATCAACGGATATAGCAATGAGGCAGGTTTAACTATTTTCAATTCCGCCTTTGTAAATATGGACCAGTTTAGAATATTTTTTAAAAGTGACAAAAGATTAACATTCAATTATTAAAATTTAATTTATATTTTCAAGAATTATAAAAAGTAAGAATGAGAGAATAGAATTCTAACTTTCGTATATATGGTAAAATACAAGATGCCATAAAATTCGAAGGGCCAAGCCTATTAAAAATAATTTTATATTTGAAGACTTTTTAAATTTTTATTTAGTTGTCAATTGTTTTAGAATTTTTAATAATATATTTATCATCATAAATAATATATATATTTTTTAATTTGAAATTAAAACTATCCATTTGCCATCCGATTCAAAATCGATATCTTTTCCATCAATTCTACAAGTGCTTGGTCTCTCTGAGGATAAGATCCTATTCTGAGCCTCATCAAAAGCCAAGTACTGCATTGCCCCACCGGTGTTTATCATATTCACCAAACCAATTAGAGCAAACCGCATGAATTTTGCAGGCAACACAGTCACAGGGGAAACAGTTATAAGCTCGAAATTGAATGGCTCCAAGGATATCTCTTCACTGTCAGATGGTGATGAAAGGACAAGTTTCTTGGTTGATACCTGATGAGAAATCAGCAGCACTTTGTTAGACCCGATCTCACGAAATCAGCCTCGTGCTTGTTAGTTAAACACCCAGAGTTCATCCCTTACCATTCACATAAAATGGAAAACTCTAACCTTCAATGGCCATAAAAGAAGAAGGATTAAGAACCCTAAAAGAAAGATTGGAAGAGACCTTCTTGCATTAAGAAAAATTTCTAATAAAAATAAATATTAAATATGTTAAATTAATTATTAATAAATATAAATATTTGTTTCACTTAAGAGGGCTTCAAGACACTAAATCAAATACGTATGTATTTGTGTGAAACTAATTAAAAGCTCCTAACTATATAACAGGCTAAAATATATTAAACGAGTTAAAAAAATAAAATATTTAGATTAAATATACTTATTTATGTATTATCTACCTTTTAATTAGATAATTGAACACCTATCACTTATTAATTTTTAATATGTGCCTAAAAGTATATAATAAAAAGTTAATAAATAATTTTTATTAAAAATATAATAATATATTCAAAATCTTATAATATTTTATAATTTTTATTAAATTTTATTATATATCTTTTTATTGTGTATATTTAAACGCCCAATAAAAATTTATTTATTTATTATTAACCAATTAATTCAACACAAGTCATAAAGGTCTAAAAAGTGAGTTGATATTTTTGTTGGGACTGACTAAGTGTAACTTATTTGAAAAATTAATTATAAAAATTATAAATAAATTAGTTTTAATTAATTACAATGTACAAGTATTTTATTTTAAATAAATAATATTTTAATGATTAGAAAAATAAATTTTTAAATAATTATATATGTATATATATAAAAAAATATTTTTAAAAAATTAATTTAATTCTTTAATTACAAAATATAAGATAACAAGAACTTTTTATAAATATAAACATAAATATTTGCAAAAAATCTAGAAAATTATATAAAGTAATAAAGAAAAATTAAATAACAACTTTTGTCTTAAAAATTTAAAACAAAATTAACAAAAAAGTAAGTAAAAATTAAATTAATTATAACAAAAAAAGTATAGTTTATATCTTAATCATATGAACAATATAAATGACTAATTTTAAAAAAAGTAACTCTACTAATTAAATGTCTCATCTCCAAAATAAAATATTCTTGTTTATAATATAAAAATTAAATTAATTATAACAAAAAAAAGTATAGATTACATGTCATTCTTAATCAATTTGAATTATCAACAATATACGTAACTAATTGTAAAAAAAAGTAACTTTATTAAATGTCTCATCTCTAAAATAAGATATTCTCATTTATAATATCAAAATTATTTATTAATAATTAACTTTAAATTTTAAATGCTAACTTTCTAAAACATTTTAAAAGCTACTTTGCTTTAAATTTTAAAAATTAAATGTTTTTTTTATCCAATACGTCACAAATTCTTAAATTATTGTTTCATTAAATACACTCTAGATAGAAATTATTTTACCATTAAAAAATAAAGAATCAAAGGTATTAAATAAGGAATAGCAAAAAGGAAAAAAGGTATTAAATAAGGATAAATATAAATACATAGGTATATAATAAATAATTGCTCATATTTTGCCTTAATTTCTTTTTCTTTAAAGTATTTATACCTTTGAGAAAAAAATTCCATTAAATAAAAATTAATTGCGATACATGAAGACTTATATTTGAAATCACTCACCGTTTATTCTCTCTTTATATATTATTATTGTTATTATTATCAAGAATAATGTCCACATTTACGTGATTTCTTACCTTAAAAAATAAAAAGAATTGCCATAATTCATTCAATTTCTTTATTTACGTAAACCGAACCTTAGAAAAAATTGAATGATTTTCCATCAGAGTTGAGTCCATCTTGAATGCCAAATGGTTGTCAACAGTTGGAGCCTGCTGAGGTTGATTTAATTCAGAAGTAGTCATAGAACAAAGCTATATAAACAAGGAAAAGCATAGACTCATTGCACATCTCTGAAATATATCAATCATGAAGGAAACAATATGGCCATCAATTTTTCATGTGTTATTGTCACTTATTCTTTGCATTCTGTTGCAAAAACCTACCCAAGCAATCAAACAGGCAAGCTATACCTTAATCTTCACTTGTAGTTGTATTATTCACTAATTTTCTGATTTTTTAAATTGAAAATGGTTCCGAGTTTCTCGTGACGATTGATAGCTTATTATATATAACATATTATTAAAGGTGTTACTCATCCTAGTGTTAGCTGAAGTCTTAATTTTCATATTTGAATGTTAATCATAATTCATGTTTTGTTTTTTCAGTCCTATGTTGTATACTTAGGATCACATTCTTTTGGTCCAAACCCTACATCAGTTGACTTTGAATCTGTCACGAACTCTCACTATGATTTACTTGGATCTTGCATTGGAAGGTATAGAATTTAAACCCATGTCCATGAAATTCTCTGGTGATAAAACCAATATAAAATAATGCGATTTTTTTTTTGTCTTACACAGCTCCGAGAAGGCCAAAGAATCAATATTTTACTCTTATCGTAGATATATTAATGGCTTTGCTGCAGTACTTGACGAAGATGAAGCAGCGGAGATTGCGAGTATGCAGTTCAACTTCATGCATTTATCCTTTGCATAATGTGTATCATGGATAATGTGTCAAGTAGTTACTTTAATTTTCTAACTACTGTTTTCTTTTAATGGTGCATGTAGAACATCCGAATGTAGTATCCGTTTTCTTAAACCAAGAACGGAAATTGCACACAACACATTCATGGGAATTCCTTGGGTTAGCAGAGAGAAATGGTGTATTTTCACAGGACTCAGTGTGGCAGAAGACAAAGGGTGAAGATATCATTATTGGAAATCTAGACACCGGTAATAAAGGATATTGAGATTTTTTTTTATGCCGTTGCATGTGACCTGTCTCGTAAAATTTTATTTGAACTATTTTTCTGTCAATTATTTATAATATCAATTTTTTTAACGCGTCTCCGAAGATGTATGATAAAAAATCAATTAGAAATTACAGCATTTAATATTATTCATGTATTAAATCTTGTAATTTTAATTGATCGCACCCTTTATCTAATGGATAACTCTTAGTACTTGAATGTTCTTCCACCTATTGCTAGCTCTTTTTTATTGATGCTGTGACTTTTGGTAGGTGTTTGGCCTGAATCCAAGAGTTTTAGCGATGAAGGGATGGGACCAGTCCCAAAAAAGTGGCGCGGAATCTGTCAAACTGATAATAATAATCAAGATAAATTTCACTGCAACAGGTTTATTTTTTTAACACTGCAAATTTCTTCAAACTATCCCATGCATCTAATAGTTAGTCTGACAAACAAAACTAGTATATGAAGATTGTTTCTGATAAACGTTCATTCTTTGTTAATATTAATTTTATTAGCTTTAGTTATAAACAGATATTTGGGTTTCCAGTATGTGGCAAGGAATTGAACTTTCTTAGATAGCTTAACGTCATTCATAAGCTTGTTATGACTTTTTGAAAAATTAATCCTTACGATATATGTTTGAGAAACACTGAATGAGAACACAAGGAGTTTTAAGCTTGAGCAGCAGTTTAGGTTGAGCTTACTAACGATTTATTTTGTATTGCATCGCTTGCATCATGAGAAAATTCATTGAGTTTTGACTATATTTTAATTTTTTCACGATATGTAGGAAGCTTATTGGAGCAAGATATTTTTACAAAGGTTTTGAGGCAAGTGGTAAAATACTAAATGCCTCGTTGCTTAGTGCACGTGACTATGAAGGTCACGGTTCTCATACTTTATCAACAGCTGGTGGTAATTTTGTTCCCGGAGTTGGTGTATTTGGCTTTGGCAATGGAACACTGAGTGGTGGATCACCAAAAGCTAGAGTTGCAGCATATAAGGTGTGCTGGCCACAAGACGTGGCCGGTGGTGGATGTTTTGATGCAGACATTTTGGCTGCTTTTGATGCTGCCATAAGTGATGGCGTTGATGTGCTCTCAGTGTCTTTGGGTTCTACTGCTCCCATAGAATATTTTGAAAGTGCTACATCCATAGGGTCCTTCCATGCTGCTGCTAACGGCATAATAGTAGTTAGTTCCGCAGGAAATTCTGGACCTGCTCCTTTTACTTTATCCAACATGGAACCCTGGATGCTTACAATTGCTGCTAGTACTATTGATAGAGACTTTGCCAGTTATGTTACACTTGGTGACAAGAAAATGTTCAAGGTATATATTTTGTCTATTGCGCCTTGTTTTTCTTGTTATATGAAAACCCATATGTCACTTTATTTAATTTTTCTTCTCTCTGAGGCTCATTTGCATCAAACCTACTTTTGGTTCTTTTGTTGCTAGGGAGCTAGCCTTTCTGAGCATGTCTTACCATCTGGCAAGTTGTACCCTTTGATTAGTTCTATTGATGCCAAAGCTGAGCTTGCACCTGCTATAGATGCGTAAGAACATTCATACCAAGTTAACCTTCTACATTAACTTTATCTTGGGGATGTTAAATTCTTTGTCAATTGTTGTAGCCAATTTTGCCTGAATGAAACTCTTGATCCTAAGAAGGTGAAGGGAAAAATAGTGGTCTGTCTTCGTGGTCAAGATAGTAGAGCTGGCAAGAGTACGCAAGCTGCTCTTGCAGGTGCTGTTGGAATGATATTGGCTAATGACAAGGACTCGGGGGATAGCACCATAGCTGACCCTCATGTGCTTCCTGCATCACATGTTAGCTTTGCAGATGGCAATTACATTTATAGTTACATCAACCGCACCAAGTAATTTCTTCGTCATGCTTTAGGCTCTTGAAATTTTTGCTAGTTTTGATCCCATGATTGGGCTTTTCCATAACATTTTATATTACCAGGTCACCTGTGGCTTACATTTCTGGAGTGAAAACAGAATTGGGTACAAAGCCAGCTCCAGTTGTGGCTTCATTTTCATCAAGGGGCCCCAATGGCCTTGAGGGAGCGATCCTTAAGGTTCGATATTTGTTTTGATGATTTTCAGTGCCCCCTTATGACTTAAGTGATCGTGCAATTGTAATTTTTGTGGTGTTTCAGCCTGATGTCACTGCACCAGGAGTGAGCATCATTGCTGCTTTTAGTGAAGCCACATCTCCAACAGAACTAGCATTTGACAAACGCAGAACACCTTTCATTACTATGTCAGGCACTTCAATGTCATGCCCTCATGTTTCTGGCCTTGCTGGGTTGCTCAAGGCACTTCATCCTGATTGGAGTCCAGCTGCTATTAAGTCAGCAATCATGACCACAGGTAAAGTACATTATTTTTACACTTTACACACCTATTAATTTTGGCATTTAATTTTTAGTTCTAGTTTTGGAGTGTCTGTAGTTATTCCGATGTATTTATAATAGCTTATTTTTGTTTTAAATACTATTTTTTTCTGTTACTTTTTCTACATTACATTATTTATAAGTAATGTCATCCTTTACTTCTTTATTTTCTTGTTCTCTCTCGCTAAGTGCATACACCTAACGAGTACATGAAAAACATTTTCCTTAAAAAAATGCATGCCTTTTGCAGCAACTACAACAGATAACTCTGAAAGGCCTATCCATGATTCATCAAAAGCGGAGGCAACTCCATTTGCCTATGGAACAGGGCACATTCAACCTAATAAGGCAGCGAACCCTGGCCTTGTATACGACCTAAATATTACTGATTATTTGAACTTTTTGTGTGGTCGTGGCTACAAAAGTTCCCAGCTAAGGTTGTTCTACGGGCAGCCTTACACATGTCCAGAGTCGTTCAATGTACTAGATTTCAACTATCCAGCAATCACCATCCCTAATTTTGACCGTGGACATCCTCTTAATGTCACTCGAACGGTTACTAATGTTGGGTCCCCAAGCAATTATAAAGTGAACATCAAGCAACCTCCACAATTTGTAGTTTCTGTTGAGCCTAACGAACTGAGCTTTAAGGAAAAGGGTGAAAAAAGGGAGTTCATTGTTACGCTTGTCTTAAAGCCTCATAGTAAGTATATCACTGATTACGAAATTGGGTGGTTGGAGTGGACCAATGGCGAGAACTATGTCAGGAGTCCTATTGTAATTAGATTCCAGTAATGAGGTTTGTGTTGATGCTGCATTTACCACCACCTATTTGGACTGGTGTATGTCATTTTTTTAAGTATTTTCCCTTTGCAATAAAGGTTTTGTTGGGATGTATAAGTTCAGCGGAAAGTTTGGAGAATATATCAATATTATTAATGCTTTTAGCTTACACGTTTTTGCTTGTTGCTTAAGAATTCTTTCGACGTAAAATTTACTAAAATTTTAGACAATATAAGACCTAAAACAATTGATCTTCTAGGCTTAACAATTGCAATGCAAGAACGGTTTACTGGAGAAAGCATGCTAACTGAAACGGCATTGGATTAAAGCATGCAAGAACGGTTTACTGGAGAAAGCAATGCAAGAACGGTTAACTGAACAATCTCTACTATTGGATTAAAAATTGCTTCAGATTTATTTTAAAATTATTCATTTGTTCTTACTAAGTAGTTCTATAACATAAAACTACTAGTTATGCTGAAAATTGATTCTATTTTGGTCAAACACAATATTGTAAAGGTATACATATATTATGGGATGTGAAATAAGTATGCGAAATTTCATTCAGTGTAAGGCAAAGTTGTGTGAATGTTGGGCATTTAGCAGTTTAGGGTTTAGAAATGCGAGATTATTTAAAGAGAGATCTAACACAGAAATTATAACTAATAGGTAATAACATAAATCTACATTGATCTTAACTTGAAATATGTCATTACACTTTAAAAACTCTAAATTAGATTAAGTTCATCTATATGTGTCTCCCTTAAAAAAGCTGTTATATAACTTATATTCTTACACCTTTTAATTTTAATTTAATATCTAAACTTTTTAAATTTAATCAATCTTCTTAAATTTTAAAATAAAATAATTTAAATTTTTAATAATTTTTTATATAAAACTCTCAAAATCTTTTTTAAAAATCTAAATATTTAAAAATTAATGAGAAATTGAAGATATACAATAATTTTAAAAGTTTGAAAAAAAAAATAGTCTCAAGAAGGTCTTTGCTTTTCTTGTTGGATACAGATTACGCGCCCATGGTCGTCCAAAACACAAGAATCAAAGCCAAATTTCCAAAATTTAAAACTCAAGTTATTGTAAGAAGGTTGTAGTTGTACACACTTGAGGCTTAATATTTGATACATATACTTACCCCAAAAAAATAATAATAGTAAACGAAATTGAGGAGAAAGAAGACAAGCTATAAAGGGAATCTCATACGGCGAGTTCAACATCAGCCAAATCAAGTTGAGCAGCAATCTCCTCAAGCTGCTTCCTCACACTCATGTCAATCAACTTAGACCCCGAATTCCCATACCTGATAGTGAAACCCGCAACCAAACTAGGGTCAATCAGGGTCTTAATCCTCACATTCTTTGCCCCAGTGAGCTTCTGCACCTGCTTCGCAATCTGCGCCAAGTGCTGCGATTCCAACTTCACCACAGAGGTCACAACAGCAAGCTCTGTGTCGGTCAAAGAGTTATACACCAACTCGAACTCCTTCGCTATGTCATTCACCAGGTCAATCCTCTGCGCGTCCACCAAGATGTAGAGGAAATTCCGCGTGTGGGGTTGGAACCCTGATGATTCCGCAATTTCGTCCACCAACTTGCGTTTCCTCTCGATTTCCACTGTTGGGTCGGCGAAAAAGTCGAACACCGTGGAGTCAGAGAAGATTTCCTCCATTTTCTCGATGTCCGAGGTGGTCGCGTCGAGGGTGTTGTTGGAGTTCGCCACGTCGGCAAGGGCGGAGGCGTAGCTGGCGGCCGCGGTGGCTGACATTTTGGCTCCGAGGAGACCGTTGGAGCGGCGCGCGGTGGGAAAAGCGATGGGGAGTTTGAGCTTGAGGGGAGTGAAGGTGGAGCCGGGGAGGGAGAGGTTGAAGATGGGTTTTGGGGTGAGGGTGGTTCGGGGGATTAAGGTGTGTTTGGATTGGAGGGAAGCGGTGGGGTGGTGCAAGGACGCCATTTTTGCGCAGTGTAGTTGTGGAATTGAAAGGAAGGGTCTTGTGCGGGTTTTTGTTTTCTTTTTCTTTGCTGAACAAGAGGCTATGACTTTGAGTGGGAGACGATTAGAGGATATCAGCGTTGCCTCTTATCTCAGGGATAAGATAATAAATAGCTTTTGAACACGTGGACGCCTGTTTGTGGAATGGGGATTTGCTTTTCTCTTTTAGTTTTGTGTGTTGGATTTCTTATTTTTGATCAAATTTCAATATAATATTTTAGCCTAAAAAATAAAGAGGAGGCCACCACCACTGAAATGAGAATTGGGAAAAGTTTGTTGAAAAATTCTGCTTAAATTTGGTCAAGAAATTAACATAAATGTTAGACTTTTGCAAAGAATGTGCCAAAGAAACAGACCAATCCCTTCAATAAACTCTTCCAAAGTCTGTCAAGTTTGGGCTCTAACATAAGACACCTCTGTCAAAGTTCCTTCAATAATCAATATTGTGCCTATGACCGTCTCTCCACATTATAACCCTTATCACTCCAAATAGCTCTTGCAAAATAATATTATTGCAAATAATAGCTTCATGACATATCAACCAAATTAAGAATTTCATCTTCTCGGGAACTATTAATTTCCTTGATCAACTCCAAGACTGGGAAGTGTCAATGTTTCATTTAGAGCTATGTAAACTTCATTTAGATTATTGCACATTTGCACCAAATAACCACGTCTTCAGAACATGGCATTTTGGATAGAAAGCCAAACTAAGGTCCAAGTTCATCTGTTTGGTCCAAAATACAGCAAACTCAAAATTTCTCTTCGCATTGCAATAATTGCCAGAATAATTTACCCAATAAGAATGTTACCCGATTGCCTTAAACCAAGACCTCCAAAATGTTTTGGACGAGTAACTTCGGCCCAACCCACAAAGGGAATATCTCTCCCATGATTAGTAGATAAAATGAACTATCATGTAACACATTGAACAGATAGAAGAAAGCTAGCAAATTATACACAACATAATTAGGAATGATCGACATCACTGAAGATGCCAAACAAACTCTTCTTGCCTTGTTAAGGATATCTTCTCTTCTAACTTGCAAGTCTGCTGTTGACAAAATCAAATATAAAACTAAAAATACTAAAATTGCACATTTAAAAAAGTAGAGAAAATATTAAAAAAATTAAAATTTAGGAGACAAAATTTACACATTTAAAAGGTAGAGGGAATAGAAGTGAGCATTTAAAATAAAAAAAAATTAAAATTGCTCGTAGATTAAAGTATAAAAATAAAAAATGCATTAAAGAAAAAAACATACACAAGTAAAGTTTTGCATGAATTTAAAATGTAAAATTATTTATTTGAATTTAGTATTTTAATATTTTAATCTTTTAACTCTTGTTTGATAATAACTTGGTCATATCTCTCGACTATCATAATTAATGATTTTACACTAAATATTATTAAATTATAATAACTTTAAAAATAAAAATAAAGATATATTGTATATTTTTAAAAATTTGATAAATATACAAATTAAAAATAATTAATATTTTAATTTTTAATAAAAATATTAATTATAATAAGTAAGGCTAAATTAAAGATATAATATTTTAAAAGATTAAAAATATATAATGTTTTAAAAATTAAAATTAAATTGTACTCAATAAGTCATAAGATTTAACAAGAAAGGAATTAACTTTTAAAAGTATTTGTATTCAATATATATCTTAAAAATACTCTCATTTAAAAATAAAGATACACAATTAATTCATAAATATAAATAAAAATTATCATAATTCACAAAAAAATCATTTTTTCATTATATTTAATAAATAAGATTAAATTGAAATAAAAATGGATAAAAGATTTATGATTTTAATCGCGGTTTTTTTTTAAATGTCAACAAATGTAAGATTAAGAAATTAAAAATAAAAATATTTATGAATTTATAGGGAGCAATTGTAGGTGTGCAGTAAACAAAAGACATGCAATAGAACCAGGGAAGAAAATTTGCGAGTGGAGCGATTGCCTGCACACAGTAACTGGAGGTAGTTCTGACTACGGCGGAAGCATTAAAAACATTGCTTTAAGACTTTGAATGCAGATTCCAACTATCCACAGAAACACACAATCGCAGAGAACAGAAAAGGCGTTTGGAAAAATCAATTAATTCGGGGCCGACATGGAAGTCGAACTCAAAGAGTTGCTCGCCGATCTTCAATCTTTGAGCCAATCGCTTCCCGATCCATCTCATCATGCTTCGCTCCATAAGGTACTTCTTCTTCTCAATTCTCATTTTATATTCCGAGATCTTCAATGAAATATGAAATTCAAAGTTATTTTGGTCCCTAACAGTTTTATTCATATGATTCTGCTATGGTGCATTCTTAGATCCGATTGTTGAGTTAACATCTTAGTGGTGGTGCCATTAATACATATGACATTTTCTCTTAGCTCGGCGCTGATTTATTTCTTATGTTTTTGTAGATTCAATTGCGTGTTGAGCATATTTCGAATCTTGCAACGGCTGCACCTGTTCGACGCTCTAAAGTTGAGGTAATTGCCTATTGGCCTGGGACGTCTGTGTAATGCATTTGGTGAATTTTTAGTGTCAAGTTGTTTTTTTATCGATTAATCCTCCTTTTACTGTGTTTGCCAGGATATGAGTGCTGAGGTTGTAGATAGCAATCCTTATAGTCGGCTTATGGCACTTCAGAGGATGGGAATTGTGGAGAACTATGAAAGAATACGCGATTTCTCAGTTGCCATAGTTGTCTGTATCAATCTCCTCCATTACTCTTTGTAGCTGTAGCATAAATTTTGTGACATGCGTGTGAATTGTTTCACCCACAAATGCTCAGATACTCTATTTATTTATTTATTTTCTATTAATAATGGCTTGAATTAGTGAATTTCGAAGACAAAAGAACACTTCGAATTTCAAGAGGACATATCATTACTCTTACCCCTTCACCTAAGATTTACATGTTAATTAAGAAGGTATTCTCATTATTTCTTCTTAGAATCACCTAAATTTTGAGCTATTTAAACTGACATTATTGTTTTCATTTAAGGTTATATTTTTTTATAAAATGAAGTTACGATTATATGCTATCCAAGTTCTGAATATAGATAATAAGCTTATTGGTGTATTTGTTACCAATTAGTACAACATGTTTCCAATCTGACATAATTGATGGCAAAGATGTTATTTATATGGAGGAGAAACTAATCCAAATTTGCTACATTGGTATATAATTACAGTATCTTGGATCAATCTTGTATGGGTATGTTTGGAGGATATTCATATTGAATTCATACTGAAAGAGTTTGGGTGTGATATTCAATTCCTTTCTTCATATAAGGAAAGAAATAGTATCATTAGCTAGCTGTACTTGGATATAAACTCCTTTAATCTGCTGCATACTTACTCAGGGAATACTTGAATTATGCAACGAGTTTCTGTGCTCTTGACGAATTTGTTCATTAAAAGATTCTAAGATACTTATGGTGTTTCGGCCATGGACATAGACAATGGATGAATCCTTTTTTTTAAAGGATAAGCCAAATAGGTCATCCTTGCTATTTTAAATTTATATAAACTAAAAGTTCCTCTCATTGTTTTGTTCTTTGTTTTGGTTGAAAATGGTGATTCTTTAATCATTCTTGTACAATCACAGGGAATAGGTGGTGTTGGAAGTGTTGCAGCTGAGATGCTAACTAGATGCGGTATAGGTCGGCTTCTGTTGTATGATTATGACAAAGTGGAGCTTGCAAATATGAATAGGCTTTTCTTCCGTCCAGATCAGGTGAGTATCCAAATCCTCATTTTCTGTTTACTGTTTCCAGTCATTATGTCTTGGAACTGAAAGGGCTAATAACGTAATTGATTTCTAACACTAATATTCTCTTGGTTGACAAAATAGAAATAAGAAATTTGATGCTAACTCTAAGATTCAGAATTTTGTACAGACAAAGATATATATTTAACACCCAAGCGTTTCTGGAAGTTCACTGTATCCATTGCATAATATAATGTGTTAGCTTTTCAGGTTGGTATGACAAAGACTGATGCAGCTGTGCAGACTCTTTCAGAAATTAACCCTGATGTTGTGCTTGAAGTAAGTATTTTACAGTGGTTATGGCCCCTGGTTCTTTTCATATGTCTATGTAATTATTAAAATGAATCTTGATATGCATTTCGTTGATTGGTATTTTCTTAATACTCTTTTCCTGATGATATTTTTTTTCCCCTTTTGATTTAGAGCTATACACTGAATATCACCACCATCTCAGGTTTTGAAACCTTTATGTCAAGTTTGAAAAATAAATCCTTTCGCTCAAGTAAACAAGGGAGTGGTGTGGATCTGGTCTTAAGTTGTGTGGATAATTACGAAGCAAGAATGGCTGTTAACCAGGTATTTATAATACATTTTATTAAAATTAATTACTTTTCTTCTTTTTGGTTTTCTGTAGAAATTCTTATGTCTCACTGAATTCTGTAAGCACTGCAGGCTTGTAATGAACTGAGCCAAACATGGATGGAGTCAGGTAAGCAAAAGGGTTAACATAGTTCTTCTCTTGTTAAGGAAAAAAATTCTTGGACTGTTCTCCAAAGGAAACTAAAATGTTCAGAATTAACTCCACCATCTTAATCAATATTGCAGAGTAGTGATATGAAGAGAAATACCCAAGAGATATAGAAATAAACGTGCTTCTGATAAACATTGCAAAATCTACTGCCCTTTACAAATGTTATATGGTTCTATACAAGTATACATATCTGATAGCTGAATACCTTTTTTTGTGTTTGTGTGACTATGTACACTGGCACATGTTATATTGCATATCAGCACTTGATACATTCTATATCCAAATTTTGTATGGTTCTTTTGCACATCTGGATGAATGAAGTACAGTCTTTTGTTTTCATTTTTTTTGGTGTGTTGGAAACTCATGAAATATAAAAATTTGAACAGGTGTTTCTGAGGATGCTGTTTCTGGCCATATTCAATTACTTATCCCTGGTGAAACTGCCTGTTTTGCATGTGCACCTCCTCTGGTATGACTGTTTCTGATATGAATTTGAGAATGATTCACAATTGATAATAAATTGCCTTAATGGATTAAACTTGATTGAACCTGGCGGTATACAAGATTTCTGAATCTCAGCCATATGATATAAATAACTGAGCTATCTAATCCCAATATATGAAAAACTTTGGACAAATGTCTACATAGCAAAATCTATTGATGTCTGTTACTACATCCACCTTACAGTAGATGTGAAATTTGTATGCAGTATGTACAACATGTGAAGCATTCAATTATTTTCCTCTTAGGTTGTTGCATCTGGGGTAGATGAACGGACACTCAAGCGTGAAGGGGTTTGTGCTGCATCTTTACCAACCACTATGGTAAACTATAAGTCTACATATCCTAGATTGGCTTCATCTCTTCTTTGTAGTTTAAAATTCAAACATATTAGGAGTTTACATTTTTTTCTTTTCAGTATATTGAATATTGGGGCTTGCAAACTTAATATAAAATATATTTCTTTTTAGATAAACATTTTCTTCTATCTGTAGGGGCTTTTTTATTTTATGTTCACTGTTTAGAAGGTGCGCATTAGTTTCTTGTTATCCCACATTACAATATCTTGTTTGATTTCCCAGGGTGTGGTTGCTGGTCTTCTAGTCCAAAACACACTAAAATTATTGTTAGGTTTTGGACAAGTCTCTCCGTATTTGGTAAGCACTGCATTGGTGCTTCCTCTGTTCTTCTTTTGAGTTGATGCAAATGCTTCCTTATATTTTAAAAACTAATAAATGAATTGATTTTATTTCCCAGAGGAATCTGAAGAAGCTACCTTAATGAAAGATGCACTGTCTTTCTTGAAAAATACATTAACTGTGTGCTGATATTCTCACTTTGGTTTATTTGTTTGTAGGGATATAACTCTCTAAAGGATTTTTTCCCAACTATGCAAATGAAGCCAAACCCTCAATGTTCAAATGTAGCATGCTTGAAAAGACAGGTAATTTGTTTATGTTTGGAATTTTGGAAAAAAATGACAGGTAAATTGTTTTCAACCATGCCCTTGTTGCGCAAATTTGATCTCATCGAAGAACTGATATTACTCCTTCCAACTATTGAGCTATACATGCTATGCATCTGCAGGACGAATACATGCTTGCAAAACCAGCAAGAGATGCTGCAGCCAAAGCAAGAAGGGAAGCTGAAGCACAAACAACTGAGGAAGGGCCACTTCACCAAGATAATGAATGGAATATAAGGTGTTTAATGATCTTGTTTCTGTTCATTTACGAGTGTGTAAGAGAAGATGGGAAATGCTTAATCAGTTGGAATAGATTAGATTTAATCCCTGATATACTTGTAATCATTTATGTAAAGTATCGTAAAGTATAAAGTTCACATTCTTTTCTAGAAATTTTGGCCTTCATATTTAGTGATGTTCTTTTGCATTAATTTTCCAGTGTTGTTGATGATGCTGAGCTGGATGGTCCAGATACCAGAAGTTCAGGTATTATCTTAATTGCATTCTGAAGTTTATATTCATAAATCATAAGCTCCGAGAATGCCCTTGTTCCTATAAGTTAACTGAAGTGTTGCATTTCTTTCTATGGAAAAGGGTCTTGTTATTACTAGACAATTTGTCAAGTAAAAATGTTGGCACCAAAATTTACATGGCCCTAAGTTTTCATAAACTTGACCACTTTGTATAAATTTCTTAAAATGTACTTATAAAAAAAATTAAAATAGTAAAATAAATAAATAAATCTGATAAATTTCAATCAACTTATGCACCTTATGAAAAAGTTAAACGAGATTTTTTTAAATTGATATGCATTAATTAATTTTAATTTATAAAAAAGTTTAATTCATCTTATTTTTTCATTCATTTTATTTTATTTTCATATAAGTTCTTATTTAAAAGTTTATCCAAATCAGACTATAGATGCATTCGTGGATTTCCTAGTTTGTTGAACCATTGGGAAAATTCTGCCCTGGGTTGTGGGAGCGTTTTTCTTTTTCTTTTCTATCCAGTTCCTTGGAAAACAAAAATTTCTAATGCATTCATAACATTCTTCCCGGTCATATATTTATCTGCATCTGCTTTATTGTTAATGACAATATTAATTGGAAAAGCATATTCACGATAGTATTAACCTTTTTCCCGAAAAATATATTGCAGATGCTCTGCCGGAAGGTCTCACACATGAACTTCCTATTGCAGACGAGTTTCAAAAGGCAACTCCTGAAACTCCAATAGTTGATAATGATGACCTCGAGGACCTTCGTAGGCAACTTGATGCCATTAATTCTGTGTAGTGACAGCTAATTAAGTTTCCGCTATTCTTTTAAAAAAATAACATTTGGATATCAATTGTTCAAGAGAGCCGGTTTAACTCAAACAATTGTTTTAGTTGGTTTGTTTAGTTATATATCTTGCACTTTTCAGAAAGCCGCTCCTAAATATATTGAAGCAGAGGAATTGCTCAGTTCATACTTCCTATATAAAGCTAGATAGGCATATTGATAAAGCATTTCATTTTTATGTAGTGATAACACTAATGAATATAACGGTGCCATTCTTAAAAAATTAAAAAAGGCTGCTGCTGCAGTTAAACAACACGAAGATTTGACCTTTTTACGTACTTAAATCTATCTAGAGCTCTGCAGTGAAATTGCTATTTGGAATCTTTTTCTTTACTGAAGCTTGAATAGTGCTCTCCGCATCTTTTCGCATGTTCTGGATTGCAGCAACAATATCTGAACTTGGAACGATCTTAAAAACAAATTTGCCTATCGGAGAAAGATGGTATATTCGCTGGTGCAATAATAGATAGAATGGAGTTCTCAAGACAGACTCCCAGACGGTTTGACTAGTTCCAATGATAAGACCACAGATGGTGTCTATTTCAACTTTAAAGCACAAATGCACAAAGCAATACCGTAGGACCGAAAGTGTTATGACTTATTATCATGGTTTGCTTATCTGGTTTGCGGAGAAATTCAAGATATATGAACTTTTATGCAAAATATTGGATCGATAGAGCCATCATACAGTAACTCCGAAGAGTGAGACTACACGTAGTGAAAATTTAAGCCAAGCTTCAAAATCTAGCGCTCCTCAAATTTCAGATGAATTTCATTCATCAGTGGTTGATGTTTCCTGATCTGCATATTAATGAATTCGCATCAAAGCTATATTCACGATCTTACAGATATTGGCTAGAGATTTGAAACACAAATATAACCAACAATTGTTGAAAATTGAGTCAGTATCAGTAGGTATCCCTTAGCCAACTGAACTCAACATTTAAAAATGTTTGGAAAAGTTACCTTTACGCCAGCCAATGAAAGTAGCTTGTGAGAGGCAATATATGCAACATCTGAATTTTCTAATCTCTTCTCCACAAAATAAATGACCTCAGAAACTCCTGACTGCAAGAAAGAAGTTAGATATATAATGCACCTCGTCTAAAGACTGCATAGAAAGATGCCCCACAATGTGTCTTCGTAGTGTTATTGCCAAAGATTCTTCCAAGTTGGTATTGATCAAATCAGTATTAAATATGATTATCAGATGATAAGAGCCCGTAAATTATTGCAATTTATATCAACGTATCACTAAAGCAGTTGTAATCCATGTTACTATCCAACTTGAGTCTATCCGCAGCCCCACCCCACCCCACCCCATCATATTAGACAGCCGACAGTAGTATTGAGCCATGACAGAATGAATGAAACCTGATTCTCAAACAGTCTTCACATGAGAAAGAACTAGTATAAATGAGGTGATTTACATATTATATTTTATTAACAGAATAATGAAGGAAAACTACTACTCTCAAACTTCATTTGTACTTCGGTAAAAAAAAAAAAAATCTATATCTCATCTGCAAAATGGTTCAGAACATATTATGCGCCATGCAGGACAAGGTTGCCAACCTGGATTATGATCTTAGCACATTCATTGCACGGAAACATGGTCACATATAGCCGCTGCATGGATTAGAAAAAGGAAACAGAAATTTCTTAGTATTAGGTGGCTGAAAAAACCCTGTTTGTTTATGAGAGATCTCTAAGAAATTTCTCTTATCTGCTAAATGGTGTAGGTTGTGACGTGCTCAATTTGTGTGTGAATGATATTGTGCATGTGCAAGTTTCAAAAGAAAGAAGATAAATAAACCATAAGTCAATATTTTCAATTAGGACGCTTAAATGACCTAGTGCAGTAGAACTGACCTGTCCGGCAGCAGAAGCATGATTTGTGTTGAGAATAGCATTGACTTCTGCATGACAAACATAACTGAAGTAGACAAAAAATAAGCTTACGCATAATGCAAAATACAAAGAGTTAAGCAAGAAAATTACTAAGCCACAGAAGATTAAATTCAGAAAAGAATCCAGCTCATCCAAATAAGCAAATGTAATATTAAGGTTTCAACGAGAGTGAATGGGCAAAAGCAAAACACTTACGGGTACTTGGTCTCCAAAGGATTCCCGGTCCTGGATTTCTGAAACACACACAGAGGTTTCAGAATGAGAATGTTCAAATGATACTTCAAAAACTCAACTCACTCTCTTAAATACCAACCTTTGCCCAGGGTAGCTTGTCATCAGAACACCCTCTTGGAAACCCGTTATAACCAATGCCTGACACAAGAAAAAGCTAAGTAAGAAATCCGTCTTTCACATAATAAACGGAATGAATATGAGAAACTTACCAAGAATTATACCATCTTGACTCACCAAACAAGCCCCCACCTTAAAAAATAACACCACCACAAATACCAGTGCTTTTAAACCACCGAAAGCAAATCAACTCAAGAAAAAAAAAGGGGGGCTTTCACAAAAATGAAATATGACCTGCCTGTTAGGATCTTTGGACCTCTCAGCAGACAAAAATGCAATTGCCATAAAATAGTCATCCCACGACAAGTATCTGTAAAATTTTAGTCCAAACTCCAAATGAACACAAAAAGACCCATATGAATGTTCTCAACATGAGAGCTAAAAATTACCTTTTGCGCTTGGAGGGGTCGAAAGGGTCCTGAGGAGAGGAAACGGTGCCGTTTTGCGAGGATTTAACATTGGATGGATGCTTCTGGGTGAGGTAAAAGAAGCGGAGAGCTATTGCGGAGGCTAAGGCACCAAACACAGTTGCGGTGGCCACTAAAGTAGCTTCCCGAGAGTTCATTTGGTTCCCAACTATGACAACGACACAACACCAAGAAGATTGGATTTGGGGCAAGTCGCAGTTTCAGGGTTCCATTTGTCAGATCAATAAAAATATTGTTAGCAAAGTACGCGGGAAATTTGCGAGGGAATTCAGTTTACCGTGTGATATGTAACGCAAAAAGAATGAAATAATTTTTGTAATTTTTAATAAATTTTAGTTAATAATAAAAAGTATATTAAAAAAAAGGCGTGTTGTTAGATTTTTGTTTTGTTTATGTATTAGAAACAGACAGGATTTGATTTTGAGTTATTGAACATTTCACAATTTATAACTGTGTGTAATTACAAATCTTAAAAAAGTTTTATTTTAGATAGTATAAATTTTCCTTTTTCTTTTTAAGAAAGTTTTTTATGACCTTTGAGTATAAGTTATGTTGCGTGTGCTATATATGTCAAGTTCTATCTAAGAATTTAATATATTATATATCTTATGTCAACATTTTGTTAAAGCATAAACAGCCTCGTACTGTAATGATTTTGTTCTATAAATATAATAACATATATATGAAATATAACAGGTAAGAGTTGAATTTTAAAAATTTAAAATTAGCAATTCCACAAGCAATTGCATTAAAGATAACCTTAGCATTCATTAATTATACAGAGCCATTGAAAGATAAAAGTAATATTATTAAATAAGAAAATTCAGTCAAATAGATACACGTGTTATAAAATTATTCAAAATAAAAAATATAAAAAAATTATGCCTTATTAATGCATTGATTAGTTTTGTATGTCTACTTTTTATTAAAACAATCCTTGTACTTCACAATGGTTAAAATAAAAAGGCATTGGAGTTACATTGCCCATGAACTATGGACAATATTTCATAATATATTTACATCTTCCTCATGTATCTGGTAAAGAAGCTTACTAAATTTGGTTAAAATTGAGATTTCTACATTGAATACCAATTTTTGTCTCTCCCGAATTACTTCCAATTTTTTTTTAAAGAATAAAAATAAAATAATAAAATCTGTTCTACAACTTTTGAAAAAAGGGATTTGACTCCCAAAAATAAAAATTCTACATCAGGCAAACTTATACTCTAGTGCCAAAAAATCAGTGCGGAGCATAAGAAAGGAAAATTTAAAATTTTTGAAGTTTTGTAAAAACCCTAAAAAAACCAGTATAAAGAAGCAAATAAGAGATCTGGTGTGGGAGTTTTTTTTTTTGGAAAAAGAAAGCAAAAAAGTTTTAGAAAGAGCAAAATTTTTATAAGAACAACATCTGAATCGCGGTATTGGTAAGTTTATTTTTCTTCTTCGATTATTTTCTTAAATTTACTCTGCTTAAGCTTATTTCTTCCTTATTTTTTTAAATTTACTCTCTATAAGGTCGGTTGTTTTTATTCTGCATGATGTATGCCCCTAGCATAAAAACATGCTTAAATCAACTTTTTTCTTTCTTTCTTTGATTTAATATTATTTTATTAGATATGTTGTACTTGATTTGATAGAAATGTAAGATGTAGGCAATGGCACTTTTTCAAATCATTCCTTTCATCATCTTTTTATTTTATTTTATATTTATTAACATTTATTATTATTTTATTATATTAATATGATTGTACAATGCAAAATATGCAATTCGAGGACTACGCCTACGTCTAAGCTATTAGACATCATTTAATTTATTTGACCTAATGTCAATTATTGTATTATCTTATTTTCCCTTTTTCATTTAATTGTTAGGCGTTTTTCTATTGATTAAGTTCATTTTTTTTAATTTGTTTGGGCCTATCTCTATATTTTTCTCATTTTTTTTCCAGCCTTATAATTTTACTTTGTTTTCTAATTTTATTTATCCTATTTTACTTTAAATCTTTAGATTTCATTTATATTTCTTAAGCAATGATAATTAGAATAATTATGATAAAAAATCATTAAAATTGATTAAACATAGTATATATTTTTTATTATATTATATGCAAATTGTATTTTTATTTGTAAAATTTATTTTATTTTAATACTAACAATAAATTCTCTTTAATATTTTTTTATGTTATTCCATTATTTATGTCTTAATTATTATTTTGATTATTTACCTTCTAATATTTGTATTTATTTATTGTATGTTTGTATAGTGTTGATATAATTTAAATTTATATTTGCGATTTAGTGTAATTATAAATAACATAATTGCATCAATTTATAACATTAACGTGTAGCCTCTTTACCATCGTGTGTTATAAATTGATAAAAATTTTGTGTACTAACATTATCTTATGTTTTACTCAATATTAACATATTAAAAATCTTATCTGATTCCTAAAGTAATTAATTTTATCATTATTATTTTTATTAATTAAAATCTATCATTTATAACATTCTTATTATATTAGTGCAACGATTTATAGTGTTATTGTGTAGTATCTTTATCTTTTTACACATTAAATTGTTAAAACTTTTGTATACCAACGTTACCTTAGATCTCATGGGATATAAATTTATCAAATAAAATTTAATCTTTCATTAAATAACTATTTTCTTTAATCAATTTAGATATGTTTATTCTTTTCATTAAATGAAATTAATTTCGTATTATAATTTTTCTTAAGTCATATTTTAACTAAACATCTCTTTATTTATTTATACAAATTTTTACACCATCCATGATGTGGAAGTGGGTCAACATTTCTATTGCAAATAGGGGGTTTTCAAGTGCATGCCCAAGTACTTATTACTTCTTGGGTTGTAATTGCTATCTTATTAGTTTCAGTCATTCTAGTTGTTCGAAATCTGCAAATCATTCACACTTTTGGTCAGAATTTTTTTTAATATGTTATTGAATTCATTCGAGATGTGAGCAAAAGTCAGATTGGAGACGAATATGATTCGTGGGTTTCATTTATTGGAACTATGTTTTTATTTATTTTTGTTTCTAATTGGTCACGGGTTCTTTTGCCTTGGAAAATAATATAGTTACCTCACGGGGAGTTAGCTACGCCCACAAATGATATAAATACTACTGTTGCATTAGCTTTACTTGCGTCAATAGCATATTTCTATGCGGGTTTTTCAAAAAAAGGATTAGCTTATTTTAGTAAATACATCCAACCAACTCCAATCCTTTTACCGATTAACATCTTATAAGATTTCACTAATTTACATTACCTTCGATTATTTAATAAATTATAAAAGATTTATGTATATCTTATGACATCTTAAATTATCTTTCAACGTTAATTATAATAAAAATTCAAATTCAAATACTTCATTTACGAATAAAATATTTTTAACGATTTGCAATATAATTGTGTGATATTCCTTCACTTTCTGTACTGTTTCTCGTAGTGTACATGTATAATCGCGTTATCTTGTATCTTAAACATTATAATTTTATGAAAATAATTTTAATTTCAAAATAAATTTTCTTTTATGAAACTTAATTTTAATCAACCAACTTTACAATTTTTAGATAGAACTACGTGGCTTTGAGTTTTCCATTGCACCTAGAGATACGTAGGAACAGGAATCGGACCGTCAAGTCAAAATAATTTTCAAAAATTTTTTTTTTCTTCTTTTAAGATATCAAGTTAACGTTTCGATAAATAATTTATTTTTTTTTCTCTTCTTCTAAAATGTAAATAATTAATATTTAGGGATTAAATAAATATTTTTCAGAATTTAAATAAATTTGCACAATTAATTTTAGATAACCGTTTTAAACAAATGTTATGGGGTGCTAATACATTCTCTACACGTAAATGACTCCCAAACTAATTTTTTGTTTCAAAGATCATAATATTTATAAAAAAAATTTCAAAGTTTTCTTAAAATAAACTTTGGTAGCGACTCTTTTGATATTTTTGAAAACATTTTTTACCGTACCTTTGCGACATATATCATGTTGATTTAAAAAAAAATTAATTGTCAATATTTATTTAAAATCAACACGCAATTTAAAAAATTAAAAATTTAATGTTTCAGATTATAAAACAACAAACGCATACATAATCAGTAAATGGAAAATTCTTTTTAACCGAGTATGCTTTAAACATAATTATCAAACATTTTTCTTAAAAAAAACTATCCTTGTAAAAGATTAATATAATTCTATATAAAGTTTTTCATTGGCGTACAAACTTACATTAAATATTTTTATGTAAAACCTATATATGTTTATTTATACTAATAGAATAAATTATTGTATTTTTGTTAAAAATAAAACTATCCTATAAAACATAAATGAATGTAGATGGTCTCTTTCCTATATGTACTGTTCTAAGCCATCATAAGAAGGCCCAAAAAATTGAAGTAATATATATTGGACCCTTAATGATCCAATGTCCGATTTCAAGGTTTATTTGGTTAGTCATTGTAATGGTTATTTAGTGGTGAAATGGACAAATGTACTATGTGGAGAGTTTGAACCCTTTATCTGAAAAATCCACTCTCTCCTTTTCGAATGACAATTGGACAAAATTGCCCACACATACACTCATGTCAAGAAATTATAGTTAATTAATCATGCCTTTTATTTCATAGATGTTTTACCATTATATATTTTGCATTGGTTGTATACTTCATTAACAAACATGGTTTACAAGAAAAAAAAATTGAGCAAAATATGAAAATATATTAATTACAGTAGTAAGCTAAAGAATGATTTATAAGAAAAATAACATGATTTATATAATCAATTAATTTTCTATATGATATAATTACTAACTATTTTTTTAATAATTTTCGCATGTTTCCAGCATCTGACCTCTATAATGACAGTCAATATCATTGCATAAAATGCATAATTTATTTGTTACTGTTACTATATTAATACTAACACTAGCTTGATAATTCTTTTTTTACACATATATTTGTCTTTCTTTAACCTCAAACACACCACCAACATTGGAGATCTTTTTTCACCAAATGACGATGGACTCGTATTCATTTAACTTATTAGAGTGATATTGTAAAAAATATATTCATATCGCACTAGAAAGAGTTATAAATATAATTGAAATATAGGTCCTAA